CCAGCAAACCACTCCAAGTTCACAAAGTGAGTACTTCTCTGCTTATCACTATTTTATACTAGTTTTAGTGTTATTAAGACCCTTTGAATAACTTTACCACAGCATAATGTCTGTTTACTGCTATGAAATGCATTAGAAGTAAATAAGTATAACTTTGTATGTATAATAGTGGTTTGGAATAAGTCCCACATCCATAAATGTGTGCATGGAAAGTGTAATTAATTTACAACGAGCTAAGATAAGATGGACTTTATTGATCTCACACGGGAAATTCACCCGCTACAGCAGCTCAGATACAACACAACACGATAGATTAAAAAAATACACATTCATTAAAAATAGAATAGAAAAAATAAAAAGATAATAATACAAAAAGGACAAATACATGGACACTATATACAGCTTTTCATATACAGATGTGACTGATATGGAACATTGCACCTGACCTATGATCCTTGGTTGCCTAGGTTACCTGCACCACCTGTGCCCATTGGGCTCCATGAGTTATCCTTGAGAAAGATACTGAACCCCAAATTGCTCCCGATGCTGTGCATCACTGTGTGAATGTGTGTGAAAGGGCAAATGTGGTATGTAGTGTAAAAAGCGCTTTGAGTGGTCGGAAGACTAGAAAGGCACAAGTACAGGTCCATTTACCATTTACCATTCCAAACAAAGAATAATGTAGGCAGAGTTAAGGCATCGTGTCAGGGATGAAGCTTGGAAACTGTGCAGCGCCCACAGTCATTCTTTGCCTTGAGTCTGTCATTACACTGGAGGTCTATCAGCTTCATTTGGATGTTCACAGGTGCTCTTTCCACGTCAACTACCAACAGATTGATTAGCAGTTTAAATTTCATCAGCTTTTTAACCAACCAGTTTATCAGCAAAATGTGCTTCCAAAAACTGGCAGATTTCCTCATGCAACTCAAAAAATCTATTCAGCACCTTCCCTCAACTCAGCCATTGCACCTCTGGGTGATAGGGCACATCGGCATGTTCAGTCTATCTCCTCAAGAAAAGACTGAAATTGGTGGTGATTTAAGCCTTTAGCTCTTACAAAGTTAAGTGATGCAGTGATACACTCAGCTCACCTGCACATTTCTCCCACATCCTCCCCACTAATCCGTTCTCTTCACCGCACATTGCAGGCGCTCCATCTGTCATCAGTCCCGTCAGTTTGTCCCAGGGCAGTTTCACTTCATTCACACATTTAGATACTTCCTCGAATATGTCTTTTCCAGTCTTTTTTTCAACTTCTCTACCCTCTGCTGTCTGTCCATGTGCTTGTACTTGTCCGGGGATTTCGTCTCAAAGTGTCTTATGCTAATGCAAGTAAACAGATATTCTTCCTCCGACCTGTCTTGAAAGCCCCTGTTTTATTTTAATTTAATATAAAGTGAGGAGTGTAGATGACTTCTGACCTCTGATGAGTGCAATAGAGTAGTAGGAAGGTGCACCTGGGCTTGCAGGTCTTAGCATGCTAGTTATGTTGCAGTGAATTCTGGGACTTTTACTATCAGTGGTGTGCGTCCTATATACTGGCGAGCAAGTTACCATAGACATATGATAGACAAAATACAGTTTTTCTTGCTTGCTTCACAGTGGATGGGTCCAATGTGTTTTGGTCATTGTCTTACTTGTCCTCTACTGTCACCTCCAGGTTGAAAAGTTCTGAGGGCTGACATTTAAAAACACCTTTGACTTCTCTTCCAGTGTCATCCTCAGGCAAAACTTTTAAATTCGACACTATTAAATTATATAGATTAATAAAGTCATCTCTGTGAGTTACATCCATCAAAAATGTTCTTTTTCAATTTTTTTGGTCAGGGTTTGGATTTTTAGGCTTGTTTAATTTGTTTCTACCTGCTTCTAAGGGGACAAAGGAGTTCCTGGACCGCGTGGACCACTGGAGACCTGGATGACTGGAATCACTGAAGACTGGACCAGTAAATATGTGTGGACGAGGTGATTGATCTTTTCTTCCTTTCTTATTTTTTTACCTTATAGAATTCTTTTCATTCGGTTGAGTACTTGCTAATGTCATTTATTTACAATAGTTTTCTGTCGTTATTGTGGGACGTTGTTCCTTCCCTGAGCGAGGAAGTTTTAACCACTAAGTTGTGTTGAACGGGCTGACAACACACAACTACTGGACACCAGAAAAATGCTTTTCGCGTTTGTTGAGGAACACATTTGTTGATTCAGGTCCTGTGTTACATTTTAAGCCTTAATAAACTTGACAGTTGATTAACCCTTTAAGAATTAGATTTTAGTTTAGGTTTTTTAAAAATGATCTTATACCTCACTGTGGTGACAGTATCAAGATATATTGTGTAACTGCTATCTAGCTCTTTCTCCCAAAGACATATGATGTTAGTGATCACATTGAGGAACCAATACTCAAAATGGAAATATACTACATGTCATGTGCATCCATTTTATACATTACATTAGAATTAGAATTACGATTATACTTTATTCATCCACAACCGGGAAATTCCCATCAGCAAGTAAGTAATTGGGAGTGAAAAAAATAAATACAGATAAAAAGACAGATATAAAAGCTATGTGAGTAGTGGGGTATTGGAAATAGACATTTCTCCCAATTGTTCTGATAATAATTTAAAATGAACAGTTGGGGCGGAGCTGAGAGGATGGTCCAATCGATAAGTAATCATAGTTTTTTTTACAAGAACTCAGCCCAGAGCTTGAATAATATCTCCTGTGAAACATCCCTGAAACAAAAGGTAATTATTATTGAAATTCCATATTTCAGGCTCTGGTTTGCATTAATATTGTAAGGTGAATTGTTAGTAAATGAACGGGAAAGGAAAAGATTAGGCCCTTTCTTCCTGTGAGATCGAGTTTATTGCAACTTTGTACCTGAATTAACTTCCTTTAATCGCCAGATCGGCCTTGATTCTGCTATCCGGGAGAGCTGAACACTTAAAGAAGAGGCTTT